CTAATAATCGTTTTATAAAAGTCATATTGCCGCAAAAAATTGTTATTAAAAAATTGTTATTAAAAAACATGTAAAAATGCACTTTTTTTACTTTTAGTTAAAAAACTATAGTTATTATGCAATAAAATCTAAAATAATAATTTTTATATCGAAAAATTATTTTTGAAATTTTTATGAAATTTCGCTTTTTTTTTTGAATAATAATAGGGCCTGCTAATTTTTGTAATTATAGTTGCGGGTGGAAGACATTGTTCAATCCATAAAAGTAAATAATTTCCTAAATTAGTACATAAAAAACAACCTTCTAGACAGGTTAGCAACTCTAAAAACACACACAGATATATATATATATATATATATATATATATATATATATATATATATATATATATATATATACATATATATATATATATATATATATATATATATATATATATATATATATATATATATATATATATATATATATATATATATATATATATATATATATATATATATATATATCTGTGTATATTATATAAAAGTTTTATATAATATAGATATTATATAAAAGTTTTAACAGAACAAAAAAATACAAAATAGTATAAAATCTTCATTTTGAGGCTTTATTTTAGAAGAAAAATATATATTTAAAAACAATATGAAGTATTGTACATGGTACTTTAAAAGTACCTTAAAATGCACCTTTGATCATAGGATCAAAGGTGCATAAACGCATTAGGATTAAGGGTGCTAACCCGCTCAATTTTTACAAAAATTATTTTTTAGTCATTAGATGCTTCTATAGCTTACCAAAAGCAACCATACAAGAGGTGAATAGTTAAGTTACAAAATGACATAAGCAAAATTATTCAACTTAAAAAAATATTAATGATGTGAGGTTCCTTGTAAAAGTAAAAAAATTACTTTTTGTCTTCAAACTGAAACTATTTAGAAATAAATTCAATAGTGGTCTATTCACTAACCAAAACACAATTAATTTTGAAGATACAATATTTATAACACGCTGGTTATCAGCCCTCTTTAATAAGTTATGTAAGTATGGAGATAACACTATAGGATCAAAGGTGTTTACGGATCAAGGGTGCAAGTTCTCCCCTACTGTTTTTAGGCTCCTTTCATGCCATAGGAACAGTAAAAGTCAAACATCTTTTTTTATTTTTCAACCATTCTTGTAGTGTAACCAAACAAAAGTTACAACATATATGTGGAGCCCATGACTTATCCTGGTCCCCTACCTTCATATCGAAGTAATGCTGGTAAGCAGTTTTCACAAGAGGTGTCATTGTTCTTTTCTGTGAGGAAAATGTTACTTCACCACAGTGTAACAAAAATTGTCAACTAAATTTACACAGTTCCTTGGCATGTTGATTTGTCAAATTTTACACTAGTAATTGAAAAAAAAAACTAAGAATAGATTAGACCAGAAACTTTAGCAAACACACATATCACATTATCACAAGTTTTAAACACGAATAAAACATTATGAATAGTCAAAAACAAACTTTTTTTTTTTCAAAAACTGAAAGTTTATACCCTTGAGAGAAAATTTTTGCTTTTATTTCTTAAGCTAAAGCTAGTATGTTGTTTTTAATATCATTTTTGAATTCAGCAGGTAGAAATACATCAGAAATAACTACTTTTGATTCCGAAACAAAATCAATGTTAGGCAATGAATATTAATGTATGAATTTTAAAATTTTACAATGAATATAGATTTATTAAAAAATAAGAATAAAAATATTTTATCAACTTGTTGCTCTCATGTTTGAGGAAGGTCAAAATTTTATTCTTATTTGATGCAAAACCACATAATCAGATAAAAAACAATGTTACTATTTATATTTATCTTACATTTGGATGCTTAAGCGCCAAACCTGCCTATACAACAAAGCTGAAAAAAATGAATTTATGTTAAAAAAAGATTTATGTAGTGTTTTTTTGCTAACACCAATATACTATGATTAAATTTTTTAAATGCACTTAACTGCAAATACTTTTAAATTTATCGGTTTAGTAGCTTTTGTTAAAGACTTTTAAACTTTGCGTCTCATTATTTCGTTTCAACATATTCGTTGTATTGGCAGGTTTGGTGCTTAATTATCCAATTGTAGTTATTATTATCCAATTATCCAGTTATTATTATCTTAATTATCCAATTGTAGTTATTATTATCCAATTGTAGTTATTATTATCCAGTCTCGAAACTCGAGATCACTTAACATAACCACAATTGATTTTTATTTCAGAATGAAAGTGTATAAATATATATATATATATATATATATATATATATATATATATATATATATATATATATATATATATATGTATATATATTTTTAAAATTACAAGTTAGCGTGAGAGCTGAAACAACAATGTTGTCTTCCCTATTTCAAGTTGGGGGAGTAGATATTGACATGTTGAACATTTCTAAGTTGCAGATGGCAAGAAAAAGCCATGAAATTATAGAGAATGAAGCACTATTTAGAGAGCAGAACTTGGATAAGATAAGGGGTTTAAAACTTGTTCTTCACTTTGACATAAAGTTAGTCAAACAGTGCAGGAGGACAAGATTTTGGAAACAGTAGAAAAGTTGGCAATTAGTGTTTCCTGCCCAGAATCCAGCTCACTTGACTTTCTTCTGGGAATACTTGCTATAAGCACTGGCTATCCAAAGTCTTGTGGAATTTTATGATTTAACAGACAAGTTCATAGCTTGTTGTGCTGACACAATTTGCTCAAACACTGGAAAACATAATGGTGCAATTCGAAATATTGCAGTTTATTCTCTACCTTGCCCAATTCTTTGGCTAATGTTCTGGTATGATGCTTTACAATAAAAATTAAAAGCAATTTTTTTTTTTTTACTGTGAGTATTAATTAAAATAATAATAATATTAATTTAAGGCACCATGTAATGGAACAACATGTTCATCATGTTAAGATGGAACTACAGGGAGAAACAAAGGGACCCAGTTGATCCTTATACAAAATAAATATCAAGATCTTTGGCCTAAAATGGAAAAAGATGTGAATACACTGGCTAACAATGAGAAATTTGATTGGAACAGACCTGAGTTTGCTCTTGGAACAGACCTGAGTTTGCTCTTTACAATCTTGCAAATGAAACAATGCAGTTTTGTACAACAGCTCTTAAAACATATATTAGAAGTGATTATAAGTTATGTCAACTGGTTGCTTTTTAGTTCGGGACAGATTTGTTGGACTTCAGGTTTCTACAACCTGGTGCAAATCACTAAGCAAGATTTATGGCTGATTCATTATAGCTGCTGGCAATGCAAATAACCAAGAATTACAACAAGCAACTCAGTATCAATGAGATTAAGATGATACAGGTTGCAACAGCACAGTGGGCCAAACAGCTATTTTCAAGGACATTGGTTCATAGTTTTTGAACGGAAAGTGCTATGGGGTTGATTAAAGACTTTTTGGAAAGGTTTTTATGTTAATTCTTTCTGAAGAGCCCAGTGGCAGCTCAGGCTCCATTCAATGATCTTAGAGCATTCAAGATTTCATTGCAGATCATATTAAATCCACTTTACTCCAAGAAGTACGGAAAGATTGACAAAGCTGGTAATCTTAGTATTCTCAGATATACTTGGTATTTTACACCACAGTGTTTTATCTTTGCTTTAGCTGATCAGCGCTTAGAGGAGAAAGAGAAAATGAATATTCTTGTGGAATTGTTAAAATATGATTTTTTTTAGAGAAGAACAACCAGAACCTTTTACACAGGTCTGTCCCCTCTCAAAGCTATCAGACTTCATTTCTCAGTAGTCTTATCTCTTTTTTCTCCATCTTGGTATAACCAAAGATGACATTCACTCATGGAAAGAAAAAGGCATGTCAAATCTCAACAATAGTTCTTTCAAGACATTTTTATCCAGTGTACGTCAATTAGCAGTTGTTAATGACAGGGCTGAAAAAAACATTAAATTGGTGTAGGATTTCATTAGAAGGACACATTCTGAAGACAGGCTCCAAGACACGATGATGGTGGTTTTAGACAACTGTCTGAAGGTATCTAACCGTGCCACTAAACAAGACTTGAAGAATATTTAGATAAAAACAGCACTTTATAGCTATATTTTTGTTTTTTTTTTTAATTTTTTTTCCAACAAAAGTTTAATAATTTTTGTACCACTAAATTTTTTTTTGTATTTCGTAGTATTTCATTTTAAAAAACATTTTAAAGCAATGTAATTGTAATAAAGAATAAAATAATTAAGAAATTTTTTCAAAGTTGCAGTAAGTGTAGCAGTCAGAATTAATGGATTGGATGATTAACTTTAAGTTAATTTGATTATTTTATAAAAATATTGAATACTACCAGAATTTCAATCAATAAATGAAAAAAAAAATCTTTATACTTTATACTAATAAATGGAAAAAAAAATTTATATGCAAATACAAAAAAAAACAGTAATTTCTAAAACACCTTTAGCTAAACGGTGATTTTGAGCACAAATATTTTGACGGTGGTCTACTGGGACCAAATAAGAAATATTGACATAGTACAGGATATTAAATTCAAAAAATATTTTTTTTCTGGGTTGCCCTAATATGTATGTATACATTGAGATTATAAGTTGGATGTAACTAATTATTTAAAATAACTTGTGCTTTTATATTGGCATATAGTTTTTTTCTTTTTTTAATTAAATTCAATCACAACAAGGTTAACCACTATTAAGTTAGGAGTTATTGTAAAAAAAAGAATAGAGTTAAATAGCAAAGAAACAGTTAAAAAAAGTTATGTGAGTCATGAAAACAGCAGTACTGATTAAAAAAAAATTTTTTAATACAATAATATAAATAAATTTATTAAAAGTGTTTAAGCTCTAGTCTAGGTTAGGGTCTTCTGATTATTTCCACCAAATAAAGAAGCTTATAAACTTTTAATTACCTACTAAATTAAATTTAAAATAAGTTATTAACAATATAAACAAGTAAAATGGTTTTTTTTGTAGAGGTGAATCTGGAGCTGGAAAAACTGAAAATACAAAAAAAGTTATTCAGTACATTGCTAAAGTTGCTGGAGTAGAAAAAAAATCAAAGGTAAAATAAATTATTAAATTATTTAGATTACTGTTTTGAAAGAAATTATTAAAAAAAGTTATAAATAATATATTAATTGTTTGATGTCATTTTTTTACGCAATATCTTTTTATTTTTTTTTTATTTTATTAAAGGAAACTAGTACTTCTGCAATAAAAGGAACATTAGATGAACAAGTTGTTCAAGCTAACCCTCTTCTTGAAGCTTTTGGTAATGCTAAGACAACAAGAAACAATAATTCATCTCGATTTGTAAGTGAATTTTATAAAAGCATGGTTTCTGTTTGAAATAAAGTTAAAAAAATTTTTAACTTTTAACTATTTTGTTTAGGGTAAATTTATACGTTGTCATTTCTCACAACAAGGAAAGCTAGCTGGAGCTGATATTGAGTCATGTGAGTTGATTGTTCTCAATTAATTTCTCAAACCTCTTCCCAATTAATTTGTTTAGAATGAGGTTTACGGTGAACTAAATTGTTTCTTAAAGTATATAATTTCCATATTTATTGTTATAGAGTTCTATAATTTATACTTTGAATTATAATACAAAAGCTTAAGAATATTACAATATATTTATGCTCAAGTGTGCGCAAGTTATTTTTAATTTCCCATGCAAATCCTAAAGTATGACAATATAGAACTGTAAATGGTTGGTTTTGTTAATATATTTTTAAATTGAATTAACCTAATATTAAACATTTTTTTCTATAAATTTTTTCAAACTAATTTTTTTTTGTAAAGTTTTTTAAAAATTGTTTTGTAAAAAAAAATATTCTTTGATTGTTTTGAATTTTCTTTCTATTCTTCTTGATAGAATTTAATTGTTTAAATTGTTCAGTTGTTATCACAAAAAAATCTTCTTTATTGCAATCAGTTCATGAATGTTCAATAAAAATCTTAGAAAAGTATAAATTGTTAAAAAAAGTTGTCTTTTGCTAAATGAAAATGAAAAGCTACCCAAATTTAAGTATAAATTGTCTATCCAAATTTTTAAACTACAAGCTCAAAAAAAATCAATTCAGAGTTTAGTGTAGTTTATTTTATCAGTCTGTTAGTTTTAGTTTTTCTAATTCAAACACAAGTTTTGGATTCTAATGGTTAGGCTTTTATAAAATCCTTATTGACTTTGACGAGGCTAGTATTCATTTTATTATAAAATTGTTTCAGATTGCCTGCTAGCTTTTTGTATAGATTTTTTAAAAAACTCTAAGTATATATTTAGATAAGCTGTAAAACTGTTAGGGATAAGGCTTTGAAAACCCTTTATCAGAAAAGCGCAACCAGATTTTTTTTCAATTTATTTTTGCAAGAATTGCATAACTTAATGCAGCTGTGGGCAACGTCCGGCCCGCGGGCCAGATCTGGCCAGCTGCAAGTTTTGTTTTGGCCGCAAGAAATTTTGAAAAACCCAATTAAAAATTTCGGTGCATCTTGAGGTTGGAATTAATGTAGTTTTATTTATAAATACAGTAGTTTTAAGCACTTTGCATTTTAACTTTTGCAAACTAATTTGTTTAGCTTTCTATCGATATATAGTTTATTATACTTTCAAAGAGATTTACTATTTGAGTTTCAATTACTTTGCAATATTATGTCATCTAAATAAAATTTAAAAAAAAGCGCAAAGTTTTTGTTAAAACTGCTGGTAGGGAATGAGTTAAGTTATTGAATGAAAAGTAAACGAAAATGATGTCTGGTGGAAAGAAAAGAAAAGTAGATAGAGAGGGTCACCAGTTTTAAGAAAAATGGACTGAAGAATTCTTTTTTTTTCATGCACAATAGTAAGCCTATTTGTTTGCTTTGTAATGAATCAATTTCAGTGATGAAAGAATTTAATATAAAGAGGCATTCTCAACTAAGCATCCTACGCTTCACTCACTGACTGGTCAAACAAAAAAAGACAAAATCCAAAAACTTACCGCAACTTTGAAAAAGCAGCAAATGTTTGTTAAACAAAAAACACAACTTGATAATGTTGTGAAAGCTAGTTTTATAGTTAGTTCAAAATTGGCAAAGTCTTTAAAATCATTTGCCAAAAGAGAATTTATCAAGGAGTGTATGTCAGAAATTTGTAGTGTTTTGTGTCCTGAAAAAAGAAGTTATTTTGAAAAAATTAGTTTGTCAAGACGAATTGTTGTCCAATGTATAGAAATGATGGCTAATGATATAAAAACAAAATTGATTAACCGTATAGCTGGTTTTGAGTCATTTTTGATAGCATTAGACAAGAGCACTGATTTGTCAGACACAGCTCAACTGGCTATATTTATTCCAGGTGTTGATAAAGAGTTCACTTTAACTGAGGAATTGCTTGCTTTACAGCAGCTAAAAGAAACCACTAGAGGAGAGGACATTTTTAATGAAGTTCAAATGGTATTCACAAGTTTTGGCTAGCCATTGTTAAAATTAGTTAGAGCATGCACAGATTGTGCACCTTCTATAGTTGGCTTACATAAAGGTTTCATTGGAATTTTGAATAAAAAACAACTGAATTAAATGTGAAAAAACATTATTGGATAGTCCTTCATTGCATTATTCACCAACATTACTTGTGCTCTAAGTTAGACTCCAGATTGTTATGAATGTGGTCATAAAAACTATCAATTTTATTTGATCCCGAGGGTTTAACCATCCTTAGTTCAAGGCATTTTTGGATGAACTATCAACCACATATGACGACGTAACATATTATTGTGAAGTCAGATGGCTAAGCAAAGGGAATGAGATAAGAAATTAGATTGCAGATTTTATGCAAATAAAAGATAAAATCTGAATTGAGTGACCAAAAATGGATATGTGACCTTACAGGCTATTTGAATGATTTGAATTTGAAACTTCAAAAACAAGGTCAGTACATGATTTGTACAGACATTTGAAAGTGTTTCAAAACAAAATCCTCTTGTGGGAAGAACAGATGCTATCTGGTAACAGTTACCATTTCGCTACGCTCTCTCTTTATAAAAATATTGCTTTTGCTTAATATGCCAAAGAACTCAAATTACCGTCAGAGCAATTTTTAATAAAAACATGGAAGACTGTTTAATTTATTTGCTACTCCAACAAAAAGTATTATACAAAAAGCTTGCAAATGGAGATTCAAAAAAATTTACTTTTAAAATCTAAATTTAAATTGTGTGATTTCTACAAAAAAATACCTCGAAGAAGACCATTTTCCGCAGCTTAGAAAATTTGCAAGAAGATTGCTTTGTGCGTTAGGCAGTACTTATAAATGTGAACAGCTCTTTTCAATGATAAAAGTTAATAAATTAACACATCGTACAAGGCTGACTGATGTTAATTTAGAAAATTCTTTATGCCTTTGTATGGCCCATACCATGTCAAAGGTTGCCCATACCTGATTTATGGTATGGCTATTGATCATTCTTTAATCATGTGCTTTTTATTACTTGCTGTTATATATATATTTTTATTTCAACAACATATTTTGTCATAACACAAAGATTAGTTTTGTTCATAAAACAAAAGCTGATAGCTTGTTTATGCAGTGGCAGCCTTAGCAGTATTTGTAAAGAAGAGAAAGAAATTCAATTAAAAAAAAATAAAACAGAGGTTTAGGCTTTATCAGCTATGGCAAGTACAACAACATTTACATTTCGTTTTTTGGACCTTGTCTGATATATATTCTCTAACAAGAAAGGCTGCCTGTTCTGAATAATAAAAATATTTATAAGTTTATTAGTTTTTAAATAGTTTAGAGAGTATTAATAAGAATTCAAAAAAAAATTTTTAAGTTTAATATTTTCAGGTGTAATTGTGTTTTTAGGAAGAGTTTTTAATGGACAGCTTAACATTAAATTATCATGTTTTAAATTACAACACAGCTAATTAATAAATAAGTTTATTACACATGCCTAGGGTACCATGCCTAGGGTACCATGGGTACTTAGGGTACCATGCATTATTTTTACTTAGGGTACCATGCAGTATTCTTAAGGTACCTTGCAGTATCCTTAGGGTACCATGCAGTATCCTTACATAAAGAACCATCTAGTATCCTAACTTAGGGTACCATGCGGTATCCTTAGGGTACCATGCAGTATCCTTACTTAGGGTACCATGCAGTATCCTTACTTAGGGTACCATGCAATATCCTTACTTAGGGTACCATGCAGTATCCTTACTTAGGGTACCATGCAGTATGTTTAGGTTACCATGCAGTATCCTTAGGCAAAAAGCTATCCAGTTGCCTCAATCAAGAAGTCCCTCATTATCATAAAAGATCTAGTTCCCTCATCATCCTAGGCAGAAACAATGTAACACAGTTTACATGTTTGCCAGCCTGTTAGTTAAAAAAAAAATGTGAGTATGGTCTACATTAATTTTCTGCTTACCTTTAAGTCTTCACCTTAGAGGTCTTCTACATGAAAGAATGCAGTTAACATCTACTCAACATGAGTTTTTAGACACCCTCTCTAGCTTTTACTCAACCATCAACCTCAAGGTAGGAACTATTTTAAATCAGAGTTGACTTCTCTTAGCATTATAAAGTGAGTCCTACAAGGCAGCAGGACATGAGGTAGGTTTTACTGGACTAGATGTTACTAAGTAGCAGGATCTAGATCTTGACTTGAAAAAATCACTATAACATATCAATGGATTAAATTACTCCGACAATTTATTGGAACTTGACACTAAAACAATTTACTAGAACATATGCAACATACTTCTTAAACAAGTTACTTGACCATATCATTCTAACAAGGTAATAAAATATATTATGGGTTGCTCTAGTAAATTACAGGAACAAATAACTCAAAGATATCACTGCAACATTACTTTTCAACAAATAAAGATATCACTACAACATAACTTTTAAACAAATTATTGGAATTCATTCTTAGAAAAATTTACTAGAACATATTTCTGAAACACATCAATGCAAGATATTTCTTGAATAAACTGAAGGAAAGTTTTACTGCAACATAATAAAGTAAAAAATTACTCCAATAAACTACTGTAATAAATTACTTGAGTATATTACTGCAATACATTATTTGAAAAAATTACTGCAACATTGCTGAAACAAATTGATTGCCAAAAAAAACTCAGGTTTTATTTTATAAATTGATGAAAAATTCATATTAAAATTTTTTTTTAATATGAATTGACCTTTAACTAATGTAAACACATGCAGTGCTGGTGTTTTGGTTTTTAATCTTTGTTTCTAAAATGACATAATTCAATGTTTTAGTTATGTATAAATAATATTTTATTTCATAAGTTACTGCAAACATATTAGTTCTTCTTACCGCAGCCTAAAGTACAATTTTTTTCTTTAAAAAATAATGAGCTCATGGACCATTGAGAAATATTTATAAATGTTAAAATTGTATATATATATATATATATATATATATATATATATATATATATATATATATATATATATATATATATATATATATATATATATATATATATATATATATATATATATATATATATATATCCCTCGGAATTAGGGTCGGCATTCTGCAATGCCAACCTAACTGCTAACTTGAAAGTTTTCAAGGTCGGCAAAAATTTGCCAACCTCGTTTCTATGTTTTATGGTTAGACCTTTGTATTAAATAGTTTTTGCCGACCTGATGCCAATCTCAAAAAGATTAAGGTTGGCAAATTATTGCCAACCTCATTCTTCCTAATTCCGAGGGTTGATATATATATATATATATATATACATATATATATATATATATATATATATATATATATATATATATATATATATATATATATATATATATATATATATATATATATATATATATATATATATATATATATATATATATATATATATATATATATATAGTTATTTAAAAAATTAGAGTGCTCAATGTTTTTAAAAAACCGAGCAATAATAAAGTTTTATATATATGCTATTTAGTTTTTAAATACACTAGATTTGCTGGAGAAAAATCGAGTTATTCATCAAGGAAGCGCAGAGCGTAACTACCACATATTTTATCAACTATTGTATGGAACTGATGATGATTATTTTAATAAGCTATGTATACCTTCAAGAAAAGCTGCTGATTATGAGTTTTTAAACAAAGGAGTACCATCTGTTGAGGGTATTGATGATCGTGATGAATACAATGCAACTTTGGTAAAAAAATTTTTTTATATTAAATTGAATAATTTAGAAACAGTTAAAGCAGTATAATTTGCACTAGTTTTAATTTTGCTACTTTTCCTTAAATTTGCACCTTGTTTTTGCACCTTGTTTTTGCACCTTGTTTTTGCACCTTGTTTTTGCTTTCTCACTTTTACTAGATGAAACTAATAACTCGTTGTATAAAAAAGATTTAAATACAATTTTTATACTGTTTACTAATTTAAGGATTTTGGGTTTCAATTGTGTCATAAGTTTTAATATTGGTTGCTATGGAGACTTGGATTGCTTAGCAACAACATATTTTATCAACCATAAATATGTACTACAAACTATATGAACTATATAAAGTGAACAAAAATAACAAATTTATTGGGTTATTCCCTTAATTACCACATTTAGTATTTTTATACTAAAAATGTAGTGTGATACTATTTATCTAGTTGATAGTGACACCTGAAATGCCTGGCAACAGTTTATTTTGCATAGTTACTAGCTTAAGTTTCTTAAAACATTAAAGTTAAAAACTTGTATGATTGTAAATTATTTTATGCATAAAAAAAATTAAACCCATACCCAATTACTAATTTGAGATGTTTTTATGCAGTTCCAGGGCTCTTTTTTATATTTCATGAAACTACCACATTATACATATAAAAAAAAACCTAAAGCTTAAACCTTAAAAGTTTTGGTTTAAAAGTAGCTTTAGCTTCTTTTTCTTTAAAGATGCAACTAATGATGCCAATCTTCTTTTCTTTGTATGCTTTTCTTTTGATACTTCATAGTATCAAAATTCGAATTACAGGTGGATAAGAGCAGAGTTATCAATGAAAGCAGCTATTATCAATTATTTTATCAATTATAAATTTAACCTATTGAACGGTTCATTTTGTAGCCATTGTTTGTTATTCTCTTCAAAATATTTTTTAAAGCTTTTGCTTATATGCCAACATTGTCAAATGAAATTAGTCAAGTTATTTTTTGCAGTTAAGTTCTTGACATTTACAACTGCATCAGAAATATTGGGATTAGCCAACTTCAAGTTTTCTTGTATTGTATATGAATTAATATCAATATTTTTCATGTTTTAACTATGTAAAAATATGAATTACATTTACAAAATCTTAAAAATAGGTATTTTATGATGTATAAATATTAAAATAAGTTTGTAAAGCTAATCTAGTATCACTGAGACACAGTTATTGCATAAACAATTAGAAAAAAATAAATATGTTTTTACCACATAAAGTCTGATACATCATTAAATCATTTGAGACCATGTGGATAATTTTAAAATTAGTATTGTAAAACAATAAGTATATTTATTTTATCTTTGTAAAATACATACTTATTGTAAAATAATGATGTATAGTATTATGTATGTATAATGTATGTATATTTTATGCATATATAATGTATGTATATTTTATGTATGTATAATGTATGTATATTTTACTAAGATCATGAGGAATGTGATTCATGCAGACTTTGCATTAAACAATCTAAAAGCACTAACTTGCAAAACAATTTTTTTTTCTAAAATAAGTAAAAATATAATAAGAAAGAAAAAATTTTAAAAGTATTTATAATAAATAATGAATAATGTTTTGGTCATTATCTTAAATTATTATTATTATTTTTTTTGTCTGTAAATAAATAATCTATAAAAAGAATGCTTCTGTCTATAATAGGCAAAAAAAAAATTGTTGGGGTTTTAATCAAATTTTTTGATAAAAAAAGTGGTTGCATAGAAGGTGGTGATGAAAATGTGAAGTAAGGCTTTCTAAATTTAATCAATGAAAGTTGCAGAGATTAAATTTAGAATTAGATTATTTGTCAGCAGAGAGCTGAAAAATACCAAATTAAAGGCCGTGCAAAAAAATTTTAGGAGTCCCAGATTTAAACAAGTTTAAAAAGTAAAAAGTTTTAAAGAAACTAAAAGCAGATCTGGGTCAGAGACTAGAGACACATCAAGCAGTGAAAGCAATCGGTTTTAATTATATTCAGGAGTATACACTCATGGCTGTCCAGGGGCAAGGACAACTTGTTTTTTCCAAGAGTAACTGAAATTAAAAAAAAAAAAGCCCAGTAGGACAACCAGATAGTTTGTTACAATTGTGCAATTTACTTTTTTTTCAAACGCTGTTGTGGTGTTTTGAAGCACATTTCTTCTCAATTTAAAATGAGTTTAAAATTACATCTTTTTTTCTGTTTCGTTCTCATCAATTCCAAATGCTATTGTACCATTTTTTAAACTTTATAGTTGCATTTTGAATCAAGTGAATGGGCAGTTGAGTCATTAATAACACAGAATTTCTTTTGTTTTTCATTAGTAAAATAAATTTTTATTTTAACTTTGTCAAACAAAATCAACAAAATGAAAAAACATTAGGATGCATGTGAAAGATCATTATTAAAATGCAATTAATGATGCATGTGGAAATTCTTTTTTTCTTAAAAAAAAAACAATTTTTAGTGTAATAAAAAATGTTTAAAATATTAAAAACATAACGTTTTAAACATTCAACTAAGTTAAATTTGATTGAAGATTGAGAATGAATAAAAGAATATTTTTCTATTTACAAAACATTTCTTTGCTTAATTATGGCTTTTGAATTTTTTGCTTCATGTAATGAAACTTTTGTTTCGTAAAGCAAAAAATTTCATTAAAAAGATTGACAAAAAGAAATAATTTGAAATATCAACTACGATAAAAAGAAATGATTTGAAATATCAACTACGATAAAAAGAAATGATTTGAAATATCAACTACGATAAAAAGAAATGATTTGAAATATCAACTACGATAAAAAGAAATAATTTGAAATATCAACTACGATAAAAAGTAATGATTTGAAATATCAACTACGATAAAAAGTAATGATTTGAAATATCGACTACGATAAAAATGATGATCTTTAATTAATTTAATTTTAAACTTTTAAACTGTTTCTTATTAGATGTATTTTAGTAGTTGGCTGTTTAAATTTTTTTCCTTCAGTATTTTTACCCGAGAAAAACTATTACACCGGACTGCTGATTATCATTGCAGACTACTCAAATGAGAAATAAAAACTGTTTCAGTCGCCCAGGAAAAAACTGAAGGATACACCACTGATATTCAATCATTTGCTTTTTTTTGTAGTTTTGAGCAAGAGTACTAGTAACTAGGGTTACAAGCATAAGAATATAATAAATAAGATTTTAAAATTGTTGAGACCAGTAGTAATATTAAAAAATAAAGTATAAAGAAAAAGTCACTGTTATCAGAAAATTATCAGAAGAGCAGTAAAAAGTCAATAGAAATGCGAGTTAAATGAAGTTTATTATAACAAAAAGTCTGGTAACCACGCTACTGCAAATTTTTGTATGACTATTTGACAAAATTTGCAAGAATTTTCTAATTTCCCACATACAAAGAAATATTACTTTGTTTAAATTTATTTTTTTCATTGTTTAACTGTTAAACAGTGAGAATCTGCAGCTATGTCATAGTTGTAGATTTAATTGTCTTCTATTTCCCTCTTTGGTGAATTGTAAAAATAATATTTGTATCAAAATTTTTTATATAGGAAGCTATTTCTGTTCTTGGGCTTTCTAAAGATGAACAAGATTCTATGTTCAAAATATGTTCTGCAATCTTAAATTTTGGCAATATCAAATTAAAACAAAAGCCTCGTGATGAACAAGCTGAAGTTGTGGATCCTGCAGGTAATTTTTTGTAGTCAATATTTTCATTGAGATTTTTTTAACAAATAATGCAAACATATTTAAA